TTTCCCTCGCCAAGTTAGTATCAGTCACGCCTCGGCTATTCACGAGTTAATTACTATACCATCAGAGACAGAGAGAGAGAGAGAGAGAGAGAGAGAGGGGGGAGGCTCTCTCGCAGTGTTAATAAGAGAGGTGTGGGATGTACGTATATACCGAGGCACCAGCGGCTCCTCCTTATTCGAGAGTATAGTCGGACGGCTCGAGCTTCGGATTACAAGAGCACTTGTGCCCCGACTGTACTTGTGATCGTTTCAAATTGCAACTCGCGGAGGGAACTACCGAGTACTCATTAAAGGAGCCCGCAGCCGACGCTTTCCGTGTTTATTTGATTGAAATAGTTCCCTCCTCCTTGCGGATCCTCCTCGACTGTATATACATATATACCGCCTGCACTGCCATTATTGCTCGCCACGATTGGTGCATGGCGGAGTGCACGTGTGCTCGAAAGACGATTTTCTCGTCAAAGCGTTAAGTACTACGTTACGATTTATATCGAGTCGAAATTAACTTTTGCTAATACATTGCTCACATTGTTTTTTTGAAATGATATTACAATAATTCAAAACAAACAAAAACATCAACAACTGGGAAATCCTCGAAGAACCAGAGGAGCCGTAATCCGTAGAGCTTTTACTTTAATAATTCAGAGCAACACGCAACCGGATTATACATCCGCGTTTCCGCTGTCCTGGGCCAATTAGGACCTTTTAGCCTTCCCTCCTGGCGTTAGTCGGCAGAGCTGGTATTTTTCCTCGTTTCCGCGCACACCTATACGGGAAAGGACATTTCGTTTCGGCCAGTAGCGCCGAAAAAAAAAAAAAAAAAAATAGATAGAGATCTCTGGACCGCCGTTGATGCCATTTGTCGTGTGCGTGCGCGCGTGTACCTTTTCGCGGAGATGACGGGATAAAAAGCGGAAAACTCTGTCTTTCCGCGTAGCGAAAGGGGGATGGGAGGAAAAAAAGAGATGGGGTCGAGACGTACGGTGAGATGGGTAGCTGTGCGTTGTTGGGGGAAAGGAAAAAACTCGACTTGTAATTACGGTGTGCGTTTGAGCAGTTCCTTTTTCCGGTGTAGCTTTTTTCCGGTTTTTTTTTTTTTTTTTTTTTTCCAGAGCTAGAAATCATGTTAGATCACAAAGGAGCGTTGTGATTTTTTCTCCTGACAATCCAAATGATAAGGTTTTTCTTTTTTTTCTTGTTCTGTTTCGTTGAAATTAATTTTGTTTAATATTTAAATTTTAATTTATAAAATAGTGAAGGTTTTGATTTGAAAATTCAATAAAACTTGCCTTTTTTTATTATTTTAATAATATCTTTGGTTATTTTTTATTAGAAAAATCTTTCAAGTGTGTAAATTTGTCACTCAAAAATATTATTAAAACCTAAAAGTATAATTGGCATAAATGAAGATGAAAAAAAAAAAAAATACTACAACCTGGAAGAAGGTCAGAACTTGCGAAAATTGCTTATACGTCATTACACAAACGTCTATTGTACACCACTTTAATTTCACAGTTTACTCAAGACAGAGATTAACATCTCCTATACCAACAATATATTTGTATACTTTATTCGTTTTTCTCAACTTTATTTGAAAATTCCATCGATACTGTACAACCAAACTAAAAAAAAAACAAAAAAAAAAAAAAATCAAAAGTTAAATTTAAATTTCCGAGTCAACCAAAAATTACACTTTTTTCCAATTTTACCGATGATTTTGATATTAAAATAATCTCGTTCAACGAGATTAAAATTAATAGGTTTCAGTGAGAAAGGGCCCACGTATATTCAAGAAGAAACTTTTTTTGGAGCAGGACAAAAATTATACTCGTCTAAGGATAAGTATGCCCTGCAATCAGGGTAAATACCAACATAAAAATAAGTATAAAATTAAAGTGTATACTGTACGTAATTCCGGTACTCATAATAGAGTTCAGCAACAACTTCATCCTCACGGTAACTTTTAACTTTCCTACAGAGCAATACAGTATCGTAAAATGCGCTCGCATAAGTACAAATACATACTCCGTGGCGCGGAATATTAGCAGGTTCATGGCAGCGCGCGGAAAAAGTTGGGCGACTTTTTTTTCATTGCGCCCTATTTCGCGAGGCGAAAAATTTTAAGCCCCCCCCCCCCCATCACCCACTGTCGTCGGCGTTTGAAATTGTTAAGATTTAAAACGAGAAAACTTGAATAGGCCAACTTTGCTCGGTTTACGAGCAATTAAAATTTATGTCCAATTCGAACTTCCTCTGCTTCTGCATAGCTGTGTAGTATAATGTAAATTTCGTTTTTCATTCCAATAAATAACAAAGGGGCGCTTTAATTTATACCAAAATGGATGCAGTTAATTACTTATAATACTGTCCTAATAACCCAGAAAAATATCCGATACAGCACGAATAGTATCTGTGGTTCATCGGTAGCACCCCTGCAGAATTGTGCACAGGGGATGTAAAAAAAAAAAAAAAATAATTAAGAAGCGCAAAATTTGCAACTTTATCGAGTGCCCCGCCAAAATGAGACATTTAATATTCAAGACACCATCAAGCACACGCGTGCACACGTATGCGTATAATACAGTGATGTATACGTGACACGTATCGCGATTATTAAAACGATAGTGATCGATCGGCTCTCAAAGTCCTCTCGTCGTAACAATGCGCTGCGAATCATACTACAGCGTGTACGACAGAACGTGAGAGATGGATCGGCTTGTAATCTGTACTGTACATCTGATGCGAGGAGCAAACTCGAGTTTGTATTGTACGCGGCATTTCAGAAACGATGGGCAGTAAAAAAATTACGAGACCCGCGAAAATCATCCGTCACATGCGTCGTTTCTGTGTTTAAAGGACCTTTTTATCCTTCCGTACCCCTGCACACACGAACGTAGCCGGTATACTTTCTCAAAATCTTGCAAGTGCTGTACATGTTTCAGATCTTTTTATTTTATTTAAAGAGACACATCTCCACATTGCATGTATGTTCGTACACGTAATATAGTGAAAGAGCTACAGTTTTAAGTGATTTTTGAGATTGGTGAAAGTCGCAACAAGGAATCTCGTGTCTGAAGGAAAAAAACCAATATTTTTCGGACGTGTCTCTCTAATTTGTGAAATTTGATCGCGCTTAACGATAAAATCGCGTTATTGCACGTAATTTCTTTTTGTGCACGAGGAACGTTCGTTTTCGCGAAAATAAATCAGTTTAATCCGTCCAATGATTAAATTTTTATACAAAAATGAAAAATCTCAAACGCACGGAACGAAAGCGCGTACCGATCGTAGTACCGATTTTTTATCGATCAAATTGAAGACAATAATCGTGGTGAACGAAATTTCATAACACCATAAGACACACTTGTGTAACAGTTACCCGTACCCATCAATGAAAAGCTCACGAGCTCATAAACCAGCTCGTATCGGTATACACACAAACCGAGCGCTTATCCAAGTCATTACCGATCAGAGATCGAGAGCGCCGGCAATATTTTCCCTAAATGTCCGAAAACTGGATTTCGGCTATCTAAACTCGCACGCACGCACACTCACGAGTTACGCCGATTTCTCTCTTCGTCCGATGCGCGAGCTCCTCGGAGTGATTTTGCGATCGCGAAAAAAAAACAAAAAAAAACAAAATTGTCGAAACAGGTTTTTAGCCTCGTGTGTACACGCAAACAGAACGCGTGAGAGAGAAAGAGGGTGGAGAAAAATAGAGATAAACGAGGACGACAATAGTATCCAGAAAACCGGCGGCGCGCAGAAAGTGAGTCTCTGGGATGCTGCGCGCTGAGAGCAAAAAGAGAGGCATCAGGCAGGGTGAGCTTGTGGGTCGGTTTGGAGAGGGAGGCCACCACTGCTTACCGGCGCGCGCACACCTTCGTACATACAACGCAACACTATGCATTATTTTACACACCTACACACATGGTGAGAGAGAGAGAGAGAGTGTCTCGGGGGCACACACGTGTCGTGATACATGTAACTCGGATGCGCCGCCGTAGAACAGCATCTCTTGCTCTCACTGCGCGTATAATGTACCACACGTCTATATATATATGTACCTATCCTGCCTACCTCTATAGTGTAGTAAAAGCGTCAGCCAGCGCCGCCGTAAAGAAGAGAAAGAGAAAGAGAGTCAGTCGGCAAGCCAAGCGGCGGGCAAGGCGAGTTTAGTTAGCGGCTAGCCGCCAGTGCGGAGCGAGTGTTTTCCGGCCGGACTCTGCTCTGACCATTGTCTGAGCATCACCTCGCGAGCCCTGCTTCTTGGTTGCAAGCACGCGATCGTCGCTTCGTTTCTTTCGGAAATAATCGCGCGGGTGGCGAATCGGCATACGTGTAAAATACGCGTGAGTGTGACTCGATCGCAAGTAGCCGATCTTGTGAATGAAACCGATCGTTGTGGGGTACATTGTGGATTTGTTGGTTGACGAGTGTGAAAGTGCAAAAGAATTGCAATAAATATACGACCCGGTGGAATGTAACGATTGAGCTATGTGCGAATTTTGGAGCGAGGAGTGAGCGCCACTCGAGATCGGTAAGGGAGAAGATCGGTATAGGTGTGCGCGACAATCGGCAGCCCCGCGGGAGTCTCGCGCTCGCTGATCTGCTTCTCCAATCGCCATCATGACGCGACCCTAAGTTGTTGCATTTGCCCCCTCCCACCCCTTGCAGGAACTCAACGTCACAGCGCATGAATCGCCGAAAAGTCGCGCGAGCGTAAAGTGCCGAGGGAGCATATCTCCCCGAAAAGAGCTGTCGGGTGCTCTCTCGTTGGAAAACACATTTTTCACCCTCCAAAGTAGAGTGGTGCACACCGCAAAAAAAGTAATAGACTTTGACGTACGACCAACGTAGTCGCGCGAGGAAGGAGCATCGTCCGTATTTTGGAGACCCAATAGTTGGTAAAAGAGGTAGCCGTAGACACAACAAGGGTGATCAACGACGCGAAGATGCCGGACAGGCGAGGAGCGCTCGGGCCGTGGCTCGCGCTCGTCTGTCTCGCGGTGCTCTGGCCCACTGCCACTCTCGCGGGCAATGAAATGTTCATGAAGATGTTCTCGAGCCAGTCGAGTCCCGCCGATCCCTGCTACGACGAGGACCGCCCTCGCCGGTGCATCCCCGACTTTGTGAACGCCGCCTTTGAGCGCACGGTCGTCGCCTCCTCGACCTGCGGCATAAGCGGCCCGACTCGCTACTGCGACGCCTCGGAGTTTCCCCCGACCGGTGCAGCGGCTCAAAACGGTGCAGCGGCCTCACCGGCCGGTGGCCAGTGCCACGTGTGCGACGACAGCGTGCCCAGGCGGCGCTTCCCCGCCTCCCATCTGACGGACCTCAACAACCCGAACAACGTGACCTGCTGGCGCAGCGAGCCCCTCGTCTCGGCGCAGAGCTTCTCCGCGCCCCCGGACAACGTCACCCTCACCTTGAGCCTCGGCAAAAAGTACGAGCTGACCTACGTCAGCCTCCAATTCTGTCCCCGTGCGGCCAAGCCCGACTCCATCGCCATCTACAAGTCGACCGACTACGGCAAGACCTGGCAGCCCTTCCAGTTCTACTCGTCGCTCTGCAAGAAGGTCTACGGGCGTCCAAACCGCGCCAGCATAACCAAGGCCAACGAGCAAGAGGCCCGCTGCACCGATAGCCATCGTTACACCGGTGGCGATGGTCTAGGCCCCGTGGGTCGCATAGCTTTCAGTACCCTCGAGGGCCGACCCTCGGCCGCGGACTTTGACAACTCGCCGGTGCTCCAGGACTGGGTCACCGCCACCGACATCCGAGTGATTTTCAATCGGCTACACATGCCCCAGCCGAGCAGCGGTGGCAACAACGCTCAGAACGGTGCAACCCGAGGCCAGGACGAGGACGAGGACGACGACGAGGAGGAGGACGAGGACGAGGACGAGGTGTTGGGCCTCGAGGAGATGGCCAAGCGCGAGCGCGACGAGATGGTGAAGCTCAAGGGTCAGGGCAAGCTGCCCAATAGTCTCTTGTTTGGGAGCGGTGCTGTCGATGATCCGCTGGCCACTGCGGGCCCGTCGGTGCACCAGGTCCTCTCGCCCCAGGAGCTTCAGAGCAACGACGCCCTCGAGCTCCAGGAGATGAGCTTCGTCTCCGTGCCCTCGACCACCATCAGCAGTAACTCCAACGGCGGCACCAACAACAACGGCGTCAGTCTGGCCCATCACTACGCGGTCTCGGACTTTGCTGTCGGCGGGCGGTGCAAGTGCAACGGCCACGCCGCCAAGTGCAGCCCCGACAAGGACGGCCAGCTCGCGTGCGAGTGCAGGCACAACACCGCGGGCCGCGACTGCGAGAAGTGCAAGTCGTTTTACTTCGATCGGCCCTGGGCCAGGGCCACCGCTCGCGACGCCAACGAATGCAAAGGTACGCGCACGAGACCCGATCTTTTTTTTTCTTTGTTCCCTTTACCTAAGGGGTTTACTATCATTTGTACACAAAGTAAGTAGGTGTACAAACTGAGGGTAGATAATATTATGCACATCAGCTTGTATACAGATAGCTCGTCGTATAGGGTATATCATGGGTGACAAGGTCTACCTTTTTATCGTTATAGGGGTAGGTTGAACCTTTTACAAGGCGATGTGCTCCTATACTTACCCTAGTGGTTTCAGTTTACCATACAAAATTACAGTACGCAGTACTAGAATATGAATTTTGAAGTAATCACAATTTGTAAAGTAAATATAAGTACACCTATTACGAATACAACAGAGGAGGGAAAGTTAAAGCCTCGGGTTTACCATGAGTATTGAGGGGTAAATTCTTACTTGCACGAAATCGGCGCCAAATTGATAATTAAAATATTATGTAAATAACCCTCGGAGTGTGCGTTTATCGTGTTTACATAATTAGAAAATAAATGAATACGTTACGTTGAGATTGTGAGCTATGTTACAAGCTGTTTTGCATAATTTGAGTCGTAATTTAAATAATTACGGACACGATAGATGAGGCCGTGCGGGTTTTTCTCGTTTTTTCCTTTGCGCTCACTTCTGCAGCTCCCGAAATGTAACGGTTTTCACGGAAAACTCATCCGCGGTAAGATAACGATCTTTAGAGCAGCATCCGAGCCATGAAATTTCGTCCACTATCGGTGTGTGTAACGTGTTACGTGGGAAATTTAAAACTGAATCGGCGTAATGCGCGTCAACGGACCTGAGAAATGATAATTGTACGGAAATTTTTTATCACCCATGATTTGTTGGTTGAAAAAAAAAACTCCCCTTGTCCCCTAATTGGTATTCGCTTCGATTTCCATGTTACCGATTTCTCGGTCATTTCATTAAGAGAGCTTACACTTTATACCATGGCGAACAACACACATTTATATACAGTAATAAAACAGCATCCCTTGGCCCTTGGAAAAATACGAACCCGACAAATCTATCGTTACGACTCCTAAAGTGTAAATATATATGCACGTCGCCAATCCAACAAATTGAAATCGTTCGCGGGACACGTACAACGAGGCAGGGCGAAACGAAAGGAGAGCATTACTTTAAAGCCCAAGCGCGGATTCTCGACGAGAAAATCCTATACGGAGGGCTCGGCGCTGAGATAAAACGAGACACATATATACAAGCAGAGCCCTCGCATCGTCTCCCTCTTAATTTTAAGGCGCGCGAGTAAGTACATGTGTACGTGCACACCCACACGGATGATATTGCTCGCGCGCTCGAGGTATTTCGGTGCAGGAGAGAGAGAGAGAGAGAGAGAGAGAGACGAGATCGAGCGTTATACGGTGTGATGTGTATAGGGACGGTGGTACCCCCTCGCCGAAATAATCGAAAAGGTCGAGGGGTTAAGAGCTGGTGGGTCCCTTCCTCTCTCTCCCTGAAATCATTGCGAATCGATCGTCCTTCCCATCTCTGGCTGCTTGCATTCTCATTCCTGTACGTACGTATACCTTTGGTTGGGTACCTACAACTCGCTTTTATTATTATTACTTTTTTTTTTCCTCTCTCTCTCACTCTCTTTGCTTCCTTCGTTTTTTTTTTTTTTTTTACTGTATCGCGTCTTTAATGGGGGGTATGGGGGTATGCGTATCGTTACGCGAGGAGGGATCGACTCGCGAAACCTGATTTCATGCCTCGGCGGAAGCTCGCGTATACGAGTACGGGAGACTGACTCTCTCTCTCTCTCTCGCGATCGCTGAATGAAGATGGATTTTTAATTAATGGCTGGTGTGCTCCTATCTGCCTTTCCCTCGTTCACTCACCCCCTCCTCGTATCTTCCCGAAGATTGTAATTGTGAATGCGATAAGGGACGAGAAGGAGGGAGGAAAGAGAGAGAGAGAGAAAAAAAGCTCTTTTTAGCCCACTCGAATTATATGCACTCGCTCGCGAGAGGAGTACAATCAGCCACGTGCTTTCAGCTGGATTACGTCGAGGTTTGTTAATGTGGAACAATTTTCCTTTCTTTTTTTTTTCCCTCGTTAACAATGAGTGGTTCTTTACGTAGATTGATGCACAAATTTCTAGTTATTTAGAATTATTCACGTGAAATTTTTCTTGGTCACTGAATAAAGAATCCGCAGCGATAGGTTCGTCAATATGGGTCGGGTGGTAGATAGTCGGACTCGTTACTACAACGACGTGGTCACGGGGGTGTGTGTCTCAATTGTCACTCCAAGTACGACGCTAAAATTGCTGTATCGAGACGTCGTATAGTAGCGCTTCTTTTTTTTTTTTTTCTATATATATTACAAAATGCTGGATACACGCTATTTGAACCACCTGCGGCTGTTCTGTAGGACCTGACAAATTCTCCAGCGACTCCAAGGGGAAAAAAAATGCATTCCCTCGCTATACATCAAAACACTTCACAGTCAGATAGAAAAAATATAGTACACCTGGTGCGCAGTAATTAACTAATTAATAGCTCTTCTTCTTCGGGCCTTCCAACACTTGGGTAAAAACGGACACGGCATGTGTATAAATTTCGTTGCACGAGCATAAGGGCTCGGTACTTTCGAAACTTATGTATATACCCATATGTATGCACTGTACACTTGACGTGTAAATTCGTTAAGAGTAAAAAATCGTCCCGGAAAATACGAACACCCTCATTTGGTGCCCCGAAATTTTTTCCTCTTTTTTTTTTTTTTTTTGTCCAAGATCGCGTGTAAAAATATGTATGTATGTGCTCTGCCGTGCAAATTCGCAAACGCGATAAAAAATGAGGAAGCGAGACGAAAGTATAATATACGGATAGGGGGCGAAACAAATAAGAGGGACGGAACGTCTCGTTTGCAACGCGAAGAGTTTGGGGAGGGTAAAAAAAAAAAAAAAAGAAAAGGGAAAAAAAGTGGAGGCAGGTTGCAGGCGAGCAGCTACGCGGTCGTTAATTCGATGCGGCGAAGTGGCGCTCGTTTAGCGCAATGAATTATGTGCGCCCGTGCAGCGGCAGTCGCGACGTTTTCGTTCGAGGGCTCGGGTGTTATAGGATATTATAGTCGTTGCAGCGCGGCGGTGATGCCGACACGCGATCCTCTTGGCCTTGCCCTTAGCTGTGCACCTTCGTATGATATGCTTTTGTTGTTTGACTTTTCATACAATTTTCAGGCTCGCGGAATTTTTCCCCCTTGTCGTTGGTTAAGCTCCAATTTTTTTTGTTTTGTACCAATTACTTTTGATGATTCATTTAGGCTAGACTTACAGTAAGTCTCGTTGCAAGAATCGTTGAATATTTACTAATTTACGTGTATCAAGCCGAAGTTGACTGTTTCTTACACGTTAATGAAAATCAAACATTTTTTTTGCTTAATGAAAAATTCATTCAATGTTTCATGTTTTTTTTTACGATATTTAATTGTTATTTTTCATTCGTATTGTTATTAATCGATTACTTCCTTCACGCAGAGCTATATGTTTGTGTAAAAATTTTGGTCTTTGGATTTTTAACTGGAAAAAAAACTTTTTAGGTATTTTTGATTCTACTCACTGATTTGTAATTTTCGGCAGTTATGTAAATGTATTTTTTTAACTCGTTGTACCAAGATTATTAAGAATTTCATCATTAAAAAATCGATTTTGGACGGCAATAAAATGAAAAAAAAAAAAAAAAACTTCACACCTAGTAAATACCTGCTCGAAAATTCTTTGAAACAGCGAAATTCCTCAGGAGCGAGCTAGAATTAATTTACGTAGTCGTAAATTAACAGATCCGATCGTTGAATTACACTTGTACCGCATAAATTGTCTCCGATATCTGTCGAATTTACCATACTTAATAATGACTTACAAATTCATAATTGAAAGGCAAGCAAAAAAAAAAAAAAAAAAAAAAAAAAAAAAAAAAAAAAAAAAAAAAACGACAGTCCAAAAACATCAGCAAACGAGAAGAATAAATTTTATGCCCTCCACGGAAGAAAAGACTTTTACATACCCCCACGGTCGTCAGACCCCGGAATCTCTCTTTTTTCGCGAGTCTCTTTCTTTTTCAGGATCCCCTTCCTTTATGCATCTTCGTGCAGATGCAGGAGCCAAAAAAAAAAAAAAAAAAAGAAAAAAAGAAAGAGCAACACAAAGAACCGAGGGCATAAATCTCATTTGTGTACGCGAAGAAAATTGTTATAAGTAACATTAGGTTGAAAACGAAGCTCGGCGCGCTGTGATGAATACCCTTTTCGTCTCTTCTCCTTCACTTCCTGTCTTAACTGTGCATCTGCATGGAAAAAGTCAGAAAAGATACGTAATAATGTTGTTTGCTGAATACTCTGGCGCGGCTCGTATATAATTTTTTTCGAGTTAATGTAGAAATTGTATGCAACTCGAATGCTCATTGGAGTTGGTTGGCTTCATCACTTTCTTTTTCTCAGTCGTCAAAAGATAATTAAGACTTTTCGCGAATTCTTATATACACCCTTTTTTTTGCTCCATAAAAGTTTTTTTATCTTCTTTTTAATACCAACAACATACTTTCAGGCTTGCGAAAGCTCCGTTACAGGGGTGTGTTTGTGTGTACGCATCAGACACACTTTTAGATGAAAAAAAAAAAAAAAAAAAAAAAGTACGTGCTTCACGCAAGTTCATTAAGCGAATTTACAGCTTTTTCAAGTGAAATCTCTCGCGCTTGCCCTCGATAATCATCAATCAGATTTCAAGGCCCGATATACATTTTTAACACGGAAATTGAAGCGCGTCTCTCTCTTATCTGTAACGTTGAAAAAAGACAATCGCCTTATCATTTAATTGATCATTTAATATCTGGTAAATTTTTTTTTTCTTTTTCTCAACCCACACGAATCTCGTAGAAGTACATAAACCTGCACGTAGGTAAAGCAACCTGATTCATCTATAAATAAAAATCTCCAAAGAGAGAGAGAGAGAGAGAGAGTTGTGGAGTGCGCGCCACACATAAT